GGCCCTGAGTTCAAGCCCCAGTACCCAGTTCCACCATCACCAAAAAACCCGGCATATTAGATTTCCGTGGGATCATGCAGTCAATCAGGCTAGCAACCCTTTGTCTAGCTGAATAGATCTGCAGGCACCACTTTAATCCTTCCAGACTTCTGAAAGTGGTGTGATAATTACACTTTCCATTTAATCTTTGTCCTAAGGCCACGTGGTAGACTGTTAAAATGGCCACAAATTCCTCCAGTTGTTCTCTGCACACTCCTTTGCATTGCCCTTTCTGATAATCCTCATAATGAGAAGTGGATTCTATTTCTCACCCTTTTTTAAATACAGGTTTAACCAGGTGGGTTGTTCTACACTAGCTTAGTGAAGAAAGCAGAGACTTGAAAAGGGCTTGCCAGTCAGACACCGGTGGCTCACCCCTGTACTCCTAGCTATTTGGGAGACTGAGATTGGGAGAATCTTGGTTTGAGGTCAGCCCTGGCAAATAGTTTATGAGACCCCCATCTCCAAAATAATCAGAATGAAATTGACTGGTGGTATTGTTCAAACCTTGAGTGCCAGCTTAGCAAGGTCAAAGCCCTGAGTTCAAACCCCAGTCCCAACGAAAAAGAAAAGAGAGAGAGAAAGAAAGAAAGGAAGAAAAAAGAAAGGACTTTTTTTGTCTCCATTCACTCATGGTAGATCGGCTCGTTGACTTTTTTTTGGCCTGGTCTGAATAAAAGTGACTTCTTTTCCTTGTGAGTTTCTTCCTGCTTGCAGGGCTGATTTACAGACAGGAACTTGGTCATATCTCAAGTCACAGTCAAACATGTTTGATGGTGGATGACAACTTGCTCTTCATCAAAGAGGTTAACATTGAGGTGCTGGTGGAAAAGACTTAAGTAAAAGAGGTGAGGAACTCTTGTCGCTGTTTTCCCGCTGCCAGTAAGAGAAAGGGGAAGCTGAGGGTAGGGGAGTCCGATCACGTGGTTCACCAGAAGGTCTGAGCACAGTGTGAGAGAAAATAAGAAGGTAGGAGTTATCACCACAACAGACCAACCCACCAATCCGAATTGACTTTGGCAGTACTGGGGTTTGAACTCAGGGCCTCACACTTGCTAGGCAGGCACTCTACCACTTGAGCCATGCCCCCCCAGCCCTCCAAACTGACTTTGAATGGCAAGATGTACTTCTTGCCAGAAATGCTTTGCCCTTCTAATTCCCATCAGCCTAGATTCAAACGAAGGTAGAGGTGACAATGAGTCCAAAGGAGAAAGTCCTTCATTAGCCCAGGGCAGTTTCTAATTGATCTGGGTGTGCTGACACTTGGCGGTGGAGAGAGGCCGGGCAGGTGCAGCTCAAGGCCATCCTGTGGACAGAAGGCCCCAGTTTTTGCCTGCATGCTCTCAAGTAGTATTTCCTGCCTATAGGAGGGGAGCACACCTTGACTAAGCAGGGTATGGAATCAAGAGATCTGTCTTCCTTCTGGACTCTGTAGGTGTTTTTCTCTGGGTGGGAGGAAGGTTTTAGAGAAGATCAGGAATTGGTTACACGGGGGTCCGGCAGATATGTGGCTTCAACCGCTGCAGCAAAGTGGAAGACCTCATCAGCTGCTCGATGGTGTCATCACCATCCCCTGGGTCAGTGCCACAAGTAGTTTCCAGATAGTTTTTGGACATGCTGCTGACTTTCTGCATCCCCTTGCTGGCTGTGGATGCATGCTATGCCTGTGTGTAGGGCAGGGCTCAAGGGCCGGGAAACACCCTCCAGAGAGACCCTCAACCAATGAAGGATGGGAGTTGGAGAGAGATACCCCAATTTTCTTGCTGTTTGGTGTAATTTTTTTTGAGACAGTCTCACTGTGTAGCCCAAATTGTCCTCAAACTGAGATCTTCCTGCCTCAGCCTTCTCCAGTGAAGTTCTGAAGTTTGTTGCACACATTTTCTCAAAGGGACCCCAGCGAGACTGAGTTCCATGCATGAGTGTGTACCCTCCTTCGGCTTCACTCCCTTCCCAGTCTCCCCTCCCTACTTTCTCACAGTTTTTTCTGACTGCTTCCCAAATAAGTCAAATGCAATCAAATCCTTACCTCAAGAGTTTGCACTTCAGGAACCCAAAGTAAGTCAGCAAGTGGTACTGCAAGTGGCTATTCCATCTAGAGATGGAATTCTGGTCCTGTGGCTGGAGGTGGGCAGGACAGTGAGATCCTGTCTACCTCAGCATTATATGGACAAAAACTCAGCTGTGGTGGGTAGGTGGGATGAGAAACAGTCATGCAATCCTTTGGCTCTTGAAAGATTGGAAGGCAAAGTGAATGTCTAGATTGGTTGGAGCTGGGTGCTGGTGGCTCACATCTGTAATCCTAGCTACTCAGGAAGCAGAGATCAGGAAGATCAAGGTTTGAAGCCAGCCCTGGCAAATAGTTCGTGAGATCCTAGCTCAGAAAATCCATCGACAGTGCATATTCCATAGGCCCAGTTGTGAAGTGACCACAGTGGAGACAGTCCTCTCTTCCCCGGGTTGATTCTGCTACTGTGTTTGCAAAGTGCTTCACCTGCCAACAAAAAAGAGTAATAGTAAGCTCCTGAAATTCCCTGGGGAAGCAGCTGGGTATCCGAGGGCAAGTGGCTTTCACAGGACCCTTTTCCATCATAGGACAACTGGTGGGGCAGCATTTTGTCCATATGGGAATAAACACAGGTCTGGGTTCAGATTCACCTACCCTTCAGGTCGTCAGTCTGAGTTCCTTTTTATGGTCTTATAAAATGCTTCATCCGTCACCACTGTGCCCCATGACACATGAAGTGCCAACAGTGGGCACACTAGGTGGAAAGGAAGCATGAAAAGGACCCGCTCACAGAATTCCTGGTCTTTGCAAAGGATGTACATACCACTGGTGGCGGCACACACCTCGTGTTTTAATCCACTTTCTGCTGTTATATCCAAATATCACAGAGGAATAATTTATAGACAATAGAAGTTTACTTAGCACACAGTTCTGGAGGTCAGAAAGTCTAAGCGCATAGCATCTAGAACGGGCCTGGTGCTGAGGAAGGGCTATGGAGCGCATGCAAAACAGAGAGAGGAAGTGAGGCCCTTATCCTTTTGATCAGGAATCCACTTCCACAAGAACAGCATTAATCCATTACATAGTTTGGATCAAAAGCCCATGTGGTAAAGGATTGGTCACCAACACTGCACTATTTGGGAGGTGATGGAGCCTTTGGGAGGCAGGGCCTAAGTAGAGGGATTTGTGTGTGTGTGAGGTACTGGAGTTTGAACTCAGGACCTCACGCTTGCTAGGCAGGTGATCTACCACTTGAGCCACTCTAACAGCACTTTTTTGTGTTGGGTGTTTTTGAGACAGGGTCTCTGGAATTATTTGCCTTGGGTGGCCTTGAACCGTGATCCTCCTGATCTCTGCCTCCCAAATAGCTAGGATTACAACCATGAGCCACCAGTAGTGGTCTTTAGAGCATTGTGGGCATGACCTTGAAGGGGACAAAGGGAACCCCAGTCCCTTCCTCTGGAAATCAAGATATGGTGGGTGGGAGAAAAGCAAATATCAAAGTTGGCTGCAGCCTTGTTTGTGCCTCTCACCTCTGCACCTGTGCTGCCCTGACTTTTCTTCTGGGGACACTTGGATCAGATAGGTTGCCACTGCTTGAGGCAGGCACAATTTGTCCCAAGGCAGGTGTCAGGGCAAAAGAAGGGCAGAACTCCAACAGCTCTTCTTGTAGAGGGCTGGCCCTAGCCAGGCTCCTCCCTCCACCCTGCAGAACCCCTCAGCCTCTGAGCTTTTCATAATTTTGCCATTTCATGGTGTTTTTCCTTAATAGTTATCTCAGCATATTGATAAAAACCAGACACACCATAGCTCATTTGTAAATACTTAGCAATTACGATTGAGAGTCTCTCTTTAAGGCATGCATTATTTAGGAGTATGAGTCTCAATTTTCAAACCAACAGGGGTTTCTAGTCGTGTGTGTGTGTGTGTGTGTGTGTGTGTGTGTGTAATCCTAAATGCACTGCACTATGGTTAGATGGACTGTGGTTAGAAAATATGATCTGTAAGATACCCTTTTTTTTCTTTTTTGGTAGTAGTGAGGTTTGAACTCAGGGCTTCACCCTTGCTAGGCAGGTGCTCTACCACTTGAGTCACTCTGCCAGTCCAAGATAGCCATTTTTTGGTAATCATTTTCATTTTTATTTTTTGGTGCTGGGGACCAAACTCAGTGCTTCATGCATGCTTAAGTGTGAGCTCTACCACTGAACTATACAGCACTCCCACACCCTCATCCAAGCCATCATATCATTTTTTTGAAATTCCTTTTTTTTTTTTTTTTTTTGGTGATACTGGGTTGGAACTCAGGGCTTCTTGCTTGCTAGGCAAGTGCTCTACTGCTTGAACCACGCCTCCTTTTTGTATTAAATATTCCATTTTGTAATGCATATGTGTATGCTTAAAAGGCTGGGGATATAGCTTAGTGGTTGAGTACTTGCTAGTGTATGTGAGTCTGTGAGCTAGACTCCCAGCATCACAAAACAAAAATCTTCCTACTTGGAAACTTGTCAGTTTCTTCTTAGAATTCCACTTTTTTGAGGTTCTGTTGTAAAGGATAGATGATTTCCCGACAGCTAGATATCCTTGTAAAAGTATTCCTTTTTGTTGTTTTTGGTTTTTTGGTTTTTTTTTTCAGAAGCTCAGGGACTTCTGCTTGCTAGGCAGTTACTCTTTCACTTGAGCCACGTCCTCAGCCCAAGTATATTCCTTTTATCACTATAAAATATTACTCTCCATTCCTCTTAATAGTCATAAAAATAAAAATAGAATCTAATTTTCTGGTTTTGGTATTGCTTTACCAGCTTTAAGTTGCTTGTTTAGTAAATATTTTACATCCTTTCATGTGGACTGCATGCTTTTTGTTTGTCTTTTTATTTTATTTAATTTAATTAATTAATTTATTTATAGGCAAGGTGTCACTATGTAGACCATACAATTGACACTGAACAATTGATTGACTGGTGATGCTGCAAAGAACCAGGTTTCGATGAACCCCCCCACCAACGTGGGTTTTGATGCCAAACATCTGATTGGATACACATTTGGTGATATGAAATAGGTTATCCAGTCAGATATGAAGCATTGGCCCTTCGCGGTGGTGAATGATGCAGGCAGTCCAAGGAGAATACAAAGAGGACGTCTCCGCTAGGGTTCTAACAAAGATGAAGGAAATCACAGAAGCCTGTCTTGGGAAGACTGTTACCAGAGCTGTGGTCACAGTGCCAGCTTACTTCAGTGACTCTCAGCGTCAGGCCACAAAAGATGATGGAACCGTTGCTGGTCCTGTGTACTTCGAATTATCAGTGCGCCAACTGCTGCTGCTATTGCTCTGGCTTAGACTAGGAGATTGGTGCTGAAAGGAAGGTGCTGACTTTTTATTTGGGAGGTGGCACTATTGAGGGTGGGATCTTTGAGGTCAAAGTGGAGACACCCACTAAGGCAGAGAAGACTTTGACAACCAATGGTCAACCGTTTTTATGGCTGAATTCAAAGGCAAGCATAAGAAGGACATCGGTGAGAACAAGAGAGCTCTCTGTACTGCTTATGAGCGAGCTGTATGTACCCTCTCTTCCAGCACTCAGGCCACTATTAAAATTAATTCCCTGTATAAAGGAATCGTCTTCCATACCTATATCACCCATGCTCGGTTTGAAGAGTTGAATGCTGACCTGTTTTATGGCACTCTGGACCTTGTAGAAAAAATCCTTTGAGATGCCAAATTGGACAAGTCACAGATCCATGACATTGTCCTGTATCCCCAAGATTCAGAGGCTTCTGCAAGACTTCTTCAGTGGGAAAGAGCTACGTAAGAGCATCGACCCTTATGGTGCAGCTGTCCAGGCAGCCATCCTATCTGGAGACTAGTCTGAAAATGTCCAAGATTTGCTGCTCTTTGTTGTCACTCCACTTTCCCTGGGTATAGAAACTGCTGGCAGAGCCATGACCGTCCTTATCAAGCACAATACTACCATTCCTACCAACCAGACACAGACCTTCACCACCTGCTCTGCTAACCAGCCCGGTGTCCTCGTTCAGGTGTATGAAGGTGAGCCAGCCTTGACCAAGGACGGCAACCTTGTTGGCAAGTTTGCACTCACAGGCATCCCTCCTGCACTCCATGGTGTCCCTCAGATCAAGGTCACTTTTGATACTGATGCAATGGCGTCCTCAATGTTTCTGCTGTGGATTGGAATGCAGGACAAGAGAACGTGATTACCATCACCAGTGACCAGGGTCATAACAGCAAGGAGGACATTGAGCAGATGATCCAGGAAGCAGAGAAGTACAAAGATGAGAAACAGAGGGACAAGGAGTCGTCCAAGAATTTGCTGGAGTCCTATGCATTCAACATGAAAGCCACTGTTGAAGATGAACTTCGGGGCAAGATCAATGATGAGGATAAACAGAAGATTCTGGACAAGGGTAATGAGATCATCAACTGGTTGGATAAGAATCAGACTGCAGAGAAGGAGAATTTGAGCACCAACAGAAAGAGCTGGAGAAAGTCTGCAACCCCATCATTACCAAGCTGCACCAGAGTGCAGGAGGCATGCCAGGAGGAATGCCTGGGGCTTTCCTGGTGGGGGAGCTCCTCCCTCTGGTGGTGTTTGCTCAGGGCCCACCATTGAAGAGGTTGAGTAAGCCAACCCAAATATAGATTATAGCATTGTTCCACTCGGTGAAACATTGAAGGACCCAAACTTAGCAGTTCTGTAGCAGGTTTTCTTGTTTTTGTTCTTGTTTCCGGTACTGTGGTGAACTCAGGGCCCTCACCTTGAGCCACTCCACCAGCCCTTTTTGTGATGGGTATTTTCGAGATAGGGTCTCACAAACTATTTGCCCAAGCTGACTTCGAACCACAATCCTCCTGATCTCTACCTCCTTAGTAGCTAGGATTACAAGTATGAGCTACCGGAGTCCAGCAAATTCTGTAGCAATTTTAAAGTTAAGTTGCTGTACTGGGCATTCTTAATATGAACATGAAACATGGGATATGCACAGGAAAAGGGAATAACATTGTACTTTATAAGCACTGCATTGTGAGTGGAAAATGTGATGTCTTTGTAAGACACAGATAAAAAACAAATTAAAAACATAATAAGCCAGGAGTTATTGCTGATGCTTGTAATCCCAGCATTTGGGGATTACAAATCCCCAAATCCCTTTATTGACCAAGCTATGTCAGTAAAGATGACATAGCTTGGTGTGTTTCCATTCCCCTGGTTGTTGGCAATTATCTCCACCTTTCCATGCTGAAGATGCCCACACAGGACAGGTTGTGCAAGGTCAGTGCCAATCACAGGTCCCTTAGGCAAGGTTGCTTGCCTAAGAGTGTAGGTCCAACTCTGCCAGGGAAGAATCCACACAAACTCCAGGAGCTGCCTCAGTGGAGCCCATTAAAAAAAATCCAAATTGATGGATTTTTTTTTTTTTTTTTGGCATTCTAGGGCTTGAACTCAAGGTGTCATGCTTGTTAGGCAGGAGCTCTACCACTTGAGCCACTCTTCCACTTTTTTTTTTTTTTTTTGAGATGGGTATTGCCATGTTGGCTAGGCTGGTCCCCAACTCCTAAGCTCAAGCGACTCTCTTGCCTCCCAAGTCGCTGGGATGGCAGACATGTGTCACCCTTCCCGGCTCAGCCACCCTTTATTTTTTACTTTCCAGGTTGGCTTATACTACCATAACTTTAGTTCTGGAAAATTCTTAGCCATTAACCCTTTGAATATTGTGATTCTCTGTTGGGGTCCATTATGACTGAAGGTTTGGGAGGTAGTGGAAACTTTGGGAGGTAGTGGAAACTTTGGGAGGCGGACTTAGTAGGAGATCCTTAGGTGACTGGGGTGTGCTCCTGCAAAGTAGATCTCTACCTTGATGTACCCTAAAATTCTTTTTGGCAACAACATCATGAACTCAGTACTCAAAAGCCAGGTGGAGATCTCCTCCCTTTTGGAGACCCCCTTCCTGGAGCCTCACTGATATTGGTGACAGAAGTCCCATTAATATCCTGGGCTATAAATATCCGTATGGTATCTTTTAGAGTCATACAGAAACCTTGTGTTCTGAATCAGTTTTTACATTAATTTGACAGCTGGGGATTCCAACAGGGAAGCAGTGGAAACTCAGGCTGTGAAAGCAACTAATCAAAGTCAGTTACATCTTTGGCTTTATAGAAAAAGTGTGAAGGTCAATAAAAGGCTCAAGTTCAAACCCTGCCTTGGGCAAAAAGTACTCAGCTCTCATTAGGCGAGTTAGAATGGCTTCCTTCCCTTAGGTGTTGTATGTACCCCCAACTCCAAGGTCATAGTCTTTTCTTAGTGGGCAGTGACTGCTGAGTGCCTTCTGATTCATCTAGTCTCCCTTCTTTCTTCACAACAGAATCTCAATTTTTTTCAGGGTGTCAACAAGATCAACTAAAACCCCCACATTTCCCAGCCTAGCTTGAAGTTAGGGTGGTGACGTGACACAATTCTAGCAAATGGCATGTCAGTGGGCTTTGCTAGCTTCTTAAATCACACTTAACTGGCAATGTCAGCCTTCACACTTGGTGCTTTCTTTCTCTTCCCCTTTCCCACTGCTATGAATTCAGGGCTGCTTCAGTCTTTGCAGCTGTGAGGTAAGCTAGAGTGAAGACTTGCCCTAGGAATAAGAGTGGAAAGTTGGTGGAACCTGGGTCCCCTCCTGTTGTCAGACTGCCATCTCAGTTCTGGATTACCTCTCTCTGGATTTTTTGCTATATGAAATAAATAAAACTGCTAATTTGGCTAGGTGTGGTGTTATGTACCTGTGACCTCAGCACTTAGGAGGCTGAGGCAGGATGATCGAGAGTTGAAGGCCAGCCTGGGCTACATAGTGGGATCCTGTCTCAAAAACAAAAAACAAACAGCACACACACAAAATACAAAAACAAAATAAAATTTCTCATTTATTCAAGCCACACTTTTTTAGATTCAGGATTTTTTGACAGTACTGGGGCTTCAACTCAGGGCCTCATCTTGCTAGGCAGGCACTCTACCACTTGAGCTACTTCAACAACCCTTTTTTGTGTTGGCTGTTTTTGAGATAGGGCATGGAGAACTATTTACCTGGGCCTGACTTTGAACAGTAGTCTTCCTGATCTCTGCCTCCTGAGTAGTTAGGATTTTTTTTTAATTGTTTTATTATTCTTATGTGCCTACAAGGCTTGGGTCATTTCTCCCCCCTACCCCCACCCCCTCCCTTACCCCCCAGTAGTTAGGATAATAGGCATGAGCCACTGGTGCCCAGCCCAGATTCTGTTTCTTATAGACAACCTGAATTCCAAATAGATAGGCAGTATATAAAAATTTCCTGATGACTGTATGTGGAGGGCTTGGCTAGGACTGAAATCCTTAAAAGGACAGCCCCAACTAATATTTCTCAGCTCAAACAGTGTGGTCACAAGAGCCTCCTAGCATTTCCTGTGACCATGTCTGAGCAATGCACAGCCCCAATCCAGCTCATCCCCTCTACTGACCCCAGGTCTGGGGCCTCATGGCACTGCACTAGGTACCCAGTCAAATCCTCTAGTATCGGGCACACGGAGGCTTAAGCAGTGCCATCTGGTTGGCTGAGGGCACCTTTGTAAATTATGCTTTGCAAATAGACTCACAGAGAACAAACAAGCTCTGCATACTTATTTCCTGGCTACCCATGGTCTCAATGGAGCCTTTGAATTGACTACACCATGAATCCAAGTGTGTGGCATTCCCAGAGGAATCAGATTACAGGTTTAGATGCCCTTCGGCGGGGGAGGTCATTTTGTTCCTTGGCATCGAGACCCTGGAGAAGTTAGTTGGGAACTAGTAGGGGCAGTGCTTTGTAATGGATGAGCAGTTGCAAACATGGGTAAAATCTGCCATGTAGCTTTGATGGTAATTGTGACTGGTTTGCCTGATACCATGTTCCCTGTAAGTACTTTAGAGGGATGGCAGGTCCAGGTGATAAAAACACAGTACACCTACAACATCTCTGGCCTTGCTTTCTATCTGGGCCAGCGTCACAGGGCAAAACAAAGCCACTTAAACGAGTCTCAGTGCTGAGAAGCCACGAGAATTTCTTAACGTGTCTGGGGGCTGTGAGTAGTACCCGGAGTCAGTGGTATATGGAGGGTTAAGAATTTATGAATGGAAAGTGCTATGGTTTGAATATGAAATGCTCCCCCATAGTCTCATCTGTTCAATGCTTGGTCCCTAGCTGGTGGTGCTATTTTGGGAGGTTCTGGGAACTTCGGAAGGTGGGGCCTAATTGGAGGTCACTGAGAGCGTGCCTTTGAAGATTATATACAGTCCCCTGTTTCTTCCTCCCTTTCTGCTTCCTGTTCTCCATGATGCAAAGAACATCGTCTGCCACATGCTCCTGCTGCTATGATGTTCTGCCCTGGTCCTAGGGGCCAAGCAACCATGGACTGAACCCTCTGAACCCATGAACCAAGTAAATCTGTCCTCCCTGTATGTGTCAGGTGTTTTTGTCACAGCCATGCAAAAGTAACTGATACAGAATGGATATTTAATAAGAATTCCAAATCAAGAAAATGGTCCTGAAATTCATGGGCATGATGGTATGTGGTGTCACAACACAGGACCAGGGACACACGTGGGACCTGCAGCCACTGATTAGAGTGTTTTGAGTTGGTCAGAATCTGAAATAATAAATAGAATTAAACAAAAGAGGGCACAAGGATAATCCTGTACTAAAATTTTTGTGGCTGCTGACTGCAGTGGAAGCTGGAAACTTTGAGATTATTGATCTGTGTTAAGGAGAGGAAAACAGATATCAAAGAACACTGTGGTCTTTGACTCAGGTATTATAACCCAGTATGATATTTAAAATCCTCATCCATGCTAGGCACCCACAGCCACACCTGTAATCCTAGCTACTCAGGAAGCAGAGATCAGGAAGATTGAGGTTCAAAGCCAGCCTGGGAAGGGTCTGCAAGACCCTATCTCAAAAAAGCCCATCACAAAAAAGGACTGGTGGAATGGCTCCAAGTATAGGTCCTGAGTTCAAACCCAAGTACCACACACACACACATGCAATATATATATATATATATCCTCATATAGTCATGGAAATTTCCTTTGTATCCAGACAATCATGATCACATATATAAGGAGGCTTCCACAAGGAGTCAACTGAACTCTTTGTTTCAATTTTTCATAGATGGGCCATACAGAGAAAAAAAAAAGATCACTAAGAAAGGTGCTAGCTTGATATTGTGAAGGTGGAATAATTGAGAAATAAAAATGTTGCTGGGTGCTGGTAGCTCATACCTGTAATCCCAGCTACTCAGAAGGCAGACATCAGGAGGATAGAAGTTCAAAGCCAGCCCAAGCAAATAGCTCATAAGACCCTATTTTGAAAACATCCAACACAAAAAAGGGCTGGCTCAAATGGTAGAGTGCCTGCCTAGCAAGTGTGAAGACCTGCCTGAGTTCAAACCCCAGGACTGCCCAAAAAAAAAGTTATAGCTGTAAAATATGGCAGAAACTCCTGCTGTTGCTACAACTCGGGCTACTACGAAGGAGGTACATAAACTCAGAATCCAGAAATTATTGCAGGGGTGTTCAGAAATTAGTAATGATCATTTTACTGTTTTCAGAAATATAGGAAACGATTAATGTTCA